CCTCTTTTTCTTAAAATATGTATTACCTATAACTAAACCCCTTTCTATACAAAGTTCAATCAAAGGGCTCCCATTATCATTTACACCTGGCACCCCAAACTTACCTACCACACCCTCTCTAAAAGTTTCTCCTACTTTAGCATTCAGATCCCCTACCACAATTACTCTCTCACTTGGTTCAAAGGCTCCTATACATTCACTTAACATCTCCCAAAATCTCTCTCTCTCCTCTGCATTCCTCTCTTCTCCAGGTGCATACTTTTCACATCCAACCTTTACTTTAATCCACATAATTCTTGAATTTACACATTCATATTCTCTTTTCTCCTTCCATAACTGATCCTTCAACATTACTGGCACCCCTTCCTTTGCTCTAACTCTCTCAGATACTCCAGATTTAATCCCATTTATTTCCCCCCACCGAAACCCCTACCCCCTTCAGCTTTGTTTCGCTTAGGGCCAGGACATCCAACTTCTTTTCATTCATAACATCAGCAATCATCTGTTTCTTGTCATCCGCACTACATCCATGCACATTCAAGCATCCCAGTTTTATAAAGTTTTTCTTCTTCTCTTTTTTAGTAAATGTCTACAGGAGAAGGGGTTACTAGCCCATTGCTCCCGGCATTTTAGTCGCCTCATACGACACTCATGGCTTACGGAGGAAAGATTCTTTTCCACTTCCCCATGGACAATAGAAGAAATAAAGAAGAGCAAGAGCTATTTAGAAAAAGGAGAAAAACCTAGATGTATGTATATATATATGCATGTGTGTGTCTGTGAAGTGTGACCAAAGTGTAAATAGGAGTAGCAAGATATCCCTGTTATCTAGCGTGTTTATGAGACAGAAAAAGAAACCAGCAATCCTACCATCATGCAAAACAGTTACAGGTTTCTGTTTCACAGTCATCTGGCAGGACGGTAGTACTTCCCTGGGTGGTTGCTGTCTACCAACCTATACATATATGTATATTTTATTTTTTATTTTTATTATCACACTGGCCGATTCCCACCAAGGCAGGGTGGCCCGAAAAAGAAAAACTTTCACCATCATTCACTCCATCACTGTCTTGCCAGAAGGGTGCTTTACACTAGTTTTTAAACTGCAACATTAACACCCCTCCCGTATATATATACGTGAGCGTGTTAGATAGGAGTGAATGGAGACGAATGGTACTTGGGACCTGACGATCTGTTGGAGTGTGAGCAGGGTAATATTTAGTGAAGGGATTCAGGGAAACCGGTTATTTTCATATAGTCGGACTTGAGTCCTGGTAATGGGAAGTACAATGCTTGCACTTTAAAGGAGGAGTTTGGGATATTGGCAGTTTGGAGGGATATGTTGTGTATCTTTATAGGTATATGCTTCTAAACTGTTGTATTCTGAGCACCTCTGCAAAAACAGTGATTATGTGTGAGTGTGGTGAAAGTGTTGAATGATGATGAAAGCATTTTCTTTTTAGGGATTTTCTTTCTTTTTTGGGTCACCCTGCCTCGGTGGGAGACGGCCGACTTGTTAAATATATATATATATATATATATATATATATTATATATATATATATATATATATATATATATATATATATATATATATATATATATATTATATATTTCAATAACAACACTGTGATCAGCTAAGGTCTCGAATCCAGGATATTTTGACCTGCCTCATAGTGAACAAAAATTATATGACGCTCTAACCCACAGGACCACCAAATCCTACAAGAGCCAAGCAACCAGCCAAGCTAGGTGTGTTACCCTTGGTCCGAGGACATAGGGTGGTGTGGGTGTGCCTCTAAGCTAATTTCATTCTACTCCCTGTTTGGTGTACTAGCCCAACAAGCAGTATTTCATATTACTGTCACCACAAACGAGTGGTACTGATCAATAATAACACCGTGACTAGCCAAGGACTTGAACCCATAATGTTTTGGCCTGCCTCATGGTGAACGAAATCACATTTGAAAATCACAGTTGAACAGTCTTGTTTTGCAAATTTACTTTTGGTTATTGCCCATAGATTCTCAAATGAGATGAGCTCAGGAGAATTTCCAAGCCAATTAGAACACTTGACCCACTCTCTCTGAAGAATGTCAGCACTTTTCTGGAAGTGTGGCATGGTGCAAGATCCTGCTGGAAAATGCCTTCTGAATCAGGAAGTCTTTATCCACAATGGGAAGCAAATGAGTTGCCAGGACTGTCGTGTATTCTTCACTGTTTATCATTCCCTCAATAATAATAAGCCATACAGGGCTTTTTAAGTAGTAAAACTCCCCCAAAACATCTTAGGTGAGTGTTTTGGCACTTACTGAATGTGTCCATTTCAAAGAGGTTCATCTTTGCTCAGTCTCACTACCACTGATCTGTACCCAAGTACATATACTTCAATATGCTCATCTGAAATTAGAATTTTTCTTCATCTGTCATCCATCCCTTATGATCAAGTGCCCACCACAGCAGTTTTTTCATAGAAGCAGTCAATAATTGAAAAGCAGGGGTGCCACTAGCACGTTAAGAGACAACACAATAAGTGTCAGGGGCCCAAGACTGTTCAACTGCCTCCCAGCATACATAAGGGGGATTACCAATAGACCCTGGCTGTCTTCAAGCAGGCACTGGACAAGCACCTAAGTCGTGTACCTGACCAGCCGGGCTGTTGTTTGTACGTTGGATTGCATGCAGTCAGCAGTAACAGCCTGGTTGATCAGGCCCTGATCCACCATGAGGCCTGGTCACAGACCGGGCCTTGGGGGCGTTGACCCCCGGAACTCTCTCCAGGTAAATTGTTTCTTCTTTACCGGTTTTCTGGCAGTTCTGCAAAATCTAATCTACTATCTGCCAACTTCAAGGAGCCTTCATCGAACAGTTGAAGAATCAACATTTACACTAGCTGAAGTCAAATCTCTGTAGATCTTTTCTGGTTTTCTTGGGACCCTTCACACTATTTCTCACGAAAACCTCGTCACTGTGAGGTGTTGTCTTGCGTTTTCTTCCACATCTTTCTCGATACAGCACTCCACAATCACCAATGTCTTCAGCTCTCTTCAGAATCCGAACAACAGTTGACTTTGCTAGGCTCAAATTTTCAGCAATCTGTTGGATACTCAGATCAGCGTGTTTTCTAAGAGCTACAATACTCGCACACTTCTTAGGTGTAACATCCATCATGAATTTCAGTAGTAATCACGAACTGAAGGGAAGAATTTGGCAAGACCACAGTCACTTACAGAGCATGATTGCAGGAATAACCTTACAGAACAACAGCTGTTGTAGCACTGAAGAGAGATGCAGAGTAACAACACAACTGGATGGTTGTCAGAAGTCAGTAGCAAACTCTCCTGAAAAGAAAAGAACTCAAACTACATTAGTTAAGCTTGAGACTAGGCCATATTAAAGAATCACAAAATTTACTCCTGTCTCAATTAATCTGCAACCAACCACTGGAAAAAATAGTGAAATTCCAAGTGCTTTCATGATTTCTCACATTATCAAGAACCTGTAATAATGGAACAGCAGAAGGGTGTATCAGGATGAGATATCACCTCACGGTCACGTCCAACATTACATCAGTCCTATTATGATGCAGGCTGGTTGGTCAGACTTGTCAAACATTATTGTTGTAAAACAAAATTAAATTATAATTTAAATTTAAATTTCAATCTGTGTTTATTCTACTCATCTACAATTCTATTGTCAAACCAATACTCCCCTACATGCTTTCTAAATTTCCACAACTTAATCCATTACTGTGAGTCACATCTTGGTTAGGCATTTTCGACAATTTATTTATACCCCATTTATTTACTCCTTTATATTGGTCCACTTCCGTCATTGCTCCCTTAATTCTATGTCTTTCCAAAAAATATGGGACCCATAATACTTCTGTGTTAGAGTAAAATGATACCAAAAGTTGCTATGATATCGTTAGCCTTTAACTAGCGCACACACCTCACACACACTGAGGTCCGGAGTTCGAATCTCCTCCGGTATGGCTGGAAAAGATCAGAGACGTGTTTCCATAAGACACCTGCTGTCCCTGTTCACCCATCAGTTTAAAATTGGTGCCTGGGTTAGTCGACTGGTGTGGGTCGCTTCATGGGACATTATTATTATTATTATAATCAAGGGGGAAGCGCTAAACCCGGAGGATTATACAGCGCCTGGGGGAGGGGATGTGGAAGGCATTCAGGCTTAATTCGGGGAACTGGAGCACAGATCCAATTCCCTAAATCAAGAGCCCCTCACCAACATCAAGGAACCTTCCTTGAGGGGCTTCATGGGACAAAACTGACCTAATTTGCCCGAAATGCTCTGCATAACAAGTGGCTTTCTATATAGTAGTGTCATTGGTGTCAGCTGGGACTGTATACCTCGTACATGTACTTGTAGCAAATAAATATATTATATTACTATTATTATATTTCTGTGAACTAACCTGCAACCTTACGCATGTATCCGTGATGGTGTTAAATCCGTCGGGGTCAAACGTCTTTCGTTCGTCTTTCAATAATTTTTGAGGCCCCTCAAGGAAGGCTCCTTGATGCTGGTGAGGGGCTCTTGATCTAGGGAACTGGATCTGTGCTCCAGTTCCCTGAATTAACCGAGTACCTTCCATCCCCCCCACAGGCGGTGTATAATCCTACGGGTTTAGCACTTCCCCCTTGATTATAATAATTTTTGAAACGCTAAACCCGTAGGAATTATACAGCGTCTGGAAAATAGGAAGCAACCAGATTCGATCCAAGGAAAGAAAGAGTTTTAGTTCCTTGGATCACGAGCCAATAAGCGACATCAAGGAAGCAGCTTACAAGGGCGTGTCTCAGACGTGGCATCTACCCTCTTCATATTTCCTTGTAAATTACCTTAACCTGCAGCGTGACAAGCTACATAACCCACTTTCCCTTAAGCTACGGCACCTTACACGCGCACACTGACAATAATCAAGAGTAAAAATTAAGTAAATTGGGGTAAAATTAGGTTAAAACAGGAGAGAGTACCTGGTAGCACCTTCCACCCAGCAAGAGGAGTCACCAGAGGCCAGATGCTGCACATCTGCCGGTTTATGTCCACTTTATTTTATTTTATATATTTTTTTTACCTTTTTTTAATATACTACTATTTTGTTTAGGATATTAATTTCTTTTAGTGTTTATAGCATTCCTCTGCAGTTCTGTTTTCTTAGACATGGCAATCTGTGACATAAAATTTATTTTATTTACGATTTCATTAGATTAGAGGATGGGAGGAGTCATAGCAACTGTCACGGTGATGCTGCTGATGTATCTATTTTTTTTTATATATTTTACTATGATAAGATATATTTATGATAGAACTCCTAAATACAGTGTATCCACTGTACCTTGTAACCCAGACTAGTATCATCATACGAATTATTATTATTATTATATTTTTTATGTAAACTACACGTAAGCTTTGAAAGGAAATAATTTTCATTTTTATACCTGGATGTTCGGGGGTCAACACCCCCATGTCCTGGTCCATGACCAGGCCTCGCAGTGCTTCAGGGCTGATCAACCAGGCTGTTATTATTTATGGGATGGCGCTAAACCTGTAGGGGTTATACAGCGCCTATGGAGTGAAAGGTAATCATTTTGATACGGGAAAGGGATGAGAGCACCAATCCCTTGGATCAAGATCCTTATACCAGCATTATAGGCATTTCCTTGAAGGAAACTTGGACCAAGAGCCCGACATTAACATAAAGGTGCTTTGGATCAAGAGCCCTACACATCAAGGTGCTTTGGATAAAGAGCCCTACACATCAAGGTGCCTTGGAACATGAGCCCTATTCTAGCGATTTTCACTTTACAGCAGTAGCCTGGAACCTAAGATAAGATAAGATAAGATTTCGTTCGGATTTTTAACCCCGGAGGGTTAGCCACCCAGGATAACCCAAGAAAGTCAGTGCGTCGTCGAGGACTGTCTAACTTATTTCCATTGGGGTCCTTAATCTTGTCCCCCAGGATGCGACCCACACCAGTCGACTAACACCCAGGTACCTATTTGCTGCTAGGTGAACAGGACAACAGGTGTAAGGAAACGTGTCGAAATGTTTCCACCCGCCGGGAATCGAACCCGGGCCCACCATGTGTGAAGCGGGAGCTTTAGCCACCAGGCCACGGTGGCCTAACCTGCTGTATAAGCAGGGCTTATATGTGAACACTCAAATGGTATAAAATACCGACAGGTTGTTAGGTAAGACAGATATGCAACAGTTAAGTATCTTTTTTTCGAAACGTTTCGCCTACACAGTAGGCTTCTTCAGTCGAGTACAGAAAAGTTGATAGAAGCTTCTATCAGCTTTTCTGTACTCGACTGAAGAAGCCTACTATGTAGGCGAAACGTTTCGAAATAAAGATACCTAACTGTTGCATATGTGTCTTACCTAACAGGGCTTATATGTATTAATAAGGTGCTAAACTTGTATGGGTCAAACAGCCAAAAATTAGTGAGCCCAAGCAGAAAGTCTGCACTAAATGTGGGACATTTTTCGTTACTTTAAGCCTACAAAGGCCTGGATCTGATAAACCAGAAATTCTCTTACCATACACCATCTATATCTGCTGCCCTGGAAGAGAGGGGCAGTGTGGAACAGGTGACCCCCTTTCCCTCTGCCAACATGGCCAGACAACCCTATTTGAATTGACCGAGAATGTATCTAGAGTGCAAGCATGCTTTGGGTGGCACTTCTTATCTTCAACATTCAGCATAAGAACATAAAAATGTAGGATCACTGCAGGAGGCTTCTTGGTCTATGCTAGACAGGTCCAAGTCACAACCATTCATATAGCTGTTTATCCAATATTTAAAACGACCTGGGTATTTGTTTCACTTATCTACAACCTGAGATACACTGCCAATGATGTAGAATATAACTTTGGTATCTCTGTGTCTAGCATTAGGAATAATATTAGGAGAGAAGTAAATAATGAAAATTATTGTTACAGGAATGCAGTTAGAAGTCTGAGTAGATCTATAATCCACTATGATAACATGAACGTAGATAAGTATGTTTATGGAGCAACTTGCAATGTGAACAGACTGACTGATGTTGTAGCAGCCAGGCTTAGGCTTAGTTACAAGTACTTCTGGCAGTTTGGGAGACACACATCAAACTAAATGCAAATTAAGTGGTCAGACATATGGTCACTGTCTTGAACACAATGTGCTTAATTGTCCACATATTGAGGAATAGATACAGTATAATAACTTTATATATATATATATATATATATATACAGTGGACCCCTGGTTAACAATATTTTTTCATTCCAGAAGTATGTTCAGGTGCCAGTACAGACCGAATTTGTTCCCATAAGGAATATTGTGAAGTAGATTAGTCCATTTCAGACCCCCAAACATACACGTACAAATGCACTTACGTAAATAAATACACTTACATAATTGGTCGCATTGGGAGGTGATCGTTAAGCGGGGGTCCACTGTATATATATATATATATATTATATATATATATATATATATATATATATAATATATATATATATATATATATTATATATATATATATATATATATATATATATATATAATATATATATATATATATATATATCATATATATATATATATATATATTATATATATAATATATATATATATATATATATATATATATATATATATATATATATATATATATATATATATATATAAACAGATAAGTGAAACTGTAATATGTAGATATAAATTCAAATATTCCTAGGCCTTTTGTGTGTCCATATGCACTTGCGCTACCGTCCACAGGATGGATATGGGGTGCGCAATAAACTAGCCACTTCGGTGGTAAAATCTAATCTGATCTGCCAATGATGAAGAACTCCACCACATCAATATGGCACTTGGCATTAAACTATATGCATGCTACATACGTGAATTGATACCTACACACTTGGAGATGAATGTCAAGTAGCAGCTGGATGATGACACATCATGAGGGGTGATACCACCTTTACTGGCAGGTGAGGCCACTGACGGTGTGCCATAATTTTTGGTCTCAAAGAATGGTTAGCCTGGCTCACAATAGATTTTAAGTACCTAAGTGCCTGTTGCTAGAGGAAAATCCACCACATAACCTGTACCACTTGACATGGGTTCCCATGTCCCTCTCCACATGTACAAAGCAGTATTAGTAGTTGACACATGTTGAGGGTTTTACCAGGTGAAGTTGGAGGAGCAAAGTTAGCACCCTAGTTATCTTGCAATATTAAGCCTCAAGAACCACATACAGCACCCACCCTCTCCCACACACTGAACCTTCCCATCCTCATTCATACATTATAATCACAGAAAGCATAAAACCAGTAAGGAAAATACTGTGCCTTGGTAATGGGATACCCATGGGGAAGCTCTAAATCCACTGAGGTCGTACAGTGCTTGGTAATCAGGTTTAATCTAAGGAGGGGAAGCTCAAGCTCCTTGGATCAAGAGCTATTGACTGGTATCATAGCAACCCTTGAAGGATTTTGCCACTCATACATGTGGTGAAATATTAAACCTAAAGGAGCCATACATGGCTAGGGAATGGGAAGCAATCATGTTTGATCTGAGGAAGGGGAGGTGAGGGTAGCCCCAATTTCTTGTACCAAAAGGCCTTCAGCATCAAGCACCTCCCTACAATATCTTGGATTTCTTCTAACAGATCTCCGTCTAATATATAAAATTCATGTTTATTTTAGGTGTCCTTTTAATTTTAGCTTGGTGCACCTCTAAATATAAAACCAGCTGTAGATATACTGTACATGGTGTACCTTTGACAGGTTTCTTGAGTTTTCCTACTCCTGCAGCCCAACCCTGATCAACCAGGCTGTTGCTACTGTCAGTAGTGTTACTTGTACTGTGTTGTATATACGTACTTAGATAATCCCAGCTACTTTATAGATATGCTTCCATGCTAGCCGTGACATCACAAGACCCATCACATGTGAGCAGTAGGCCAGAGGCCTTGCGGTCAGTTCCTGCTAGGCATAGATTTTACAAACCAAAGCTTGTGGGTCCACTCCTCTAGACTCTTATTATACACCTCCAAGACATACAATGTGTGTATTAATTACTCCAACATCTCTTCACAAACCCCCACCTGGTTGATCTGGCAGTAAACCCATAGGGATCATATAATAAGGGTAGTTTTTATTCTTTTGATCAAGAATCATTAACCAGCCAGCATAGATACCCTCCCTTGGAAGGGGCCAACCATAAGATTTCATATATTATTAGTATAATCAAAACTAAGAACTAAACCCACAAGTCATACAGCAGAATCTCATTGAAAGTGTGCATACTGGATTGCTCATACCCAAAGCTTTTTTTTTTTTTTTTTTTTGGCTACACATTTTTAAATGAATGTCATTATTAGAGAGAATGGAGCCATATATAAAAAGATACAGCCTCTGAAACAAAATGAAGCCAAATTCAAATTACTATAGTAGTTTTGGGGAAGTGCTGAACCCATAGGGCTTATACCCCTGGGGTTTAGGAGATAAACAGGTTTGATTCAAGGAAGAAGAGGAAGGCAGCCCCAATTCTTATATTGGGAATCCTTCACTAGTATCAAAGCGCCGCAGTTTGATGGGACCAAACGAGAAAATTTACCATATTTTCCGGCATATAGGGCACACCTTTCCTCCCCGAAAAAGTCTTGGAAAAATCAGCTTGTGCCTTATATGCTCAATGTCAGGGTCAAGGATAGGCTTTGTGTTACACTTCAGCAGTTGCTTACTAATGTTACGTTATGACTGCTTGGAAACATCACCTTATGTCTCTTATTCTCGTGCGCCTCATATGCTGGAAAATACAGTAATTAAAATTATTATTATAATAAAAAAGAAGCACTAAACCACAAGGGTTATACAGCACACAGTAATTAGTAGTAAATTGGTAGACAGCAACCACCCAGGGAAGTACTACCGTCCTGCCAGATGACTGTGAAACAGAAACCTGTAACTGTTTTGCATGATGGTAGGATTGCTGGTTTCTTTTTCTGTCTCATAAACACGCTAGATAACAGGGATATCTTGCTACTCC